CTGTTGAGGTCCATTCCTAAGGCCTTCAGACCCTGCTTGCAGATATCCTTGTATCGCAGCTGTGGTCTCCCTCTGGGGCGATTTCCCTGCATTAATTCTCCGTACAGGAGATCTTTTGGAATCCGACCATCAGCCATTCTCACAACATGCCCAAGCCAGTGTAGACATCGCTGTTTCAGTAATGTATACATGCTAAACATTCCAGCTCAATCTAGGACTACTCTATTTGGAACTTTCTCCTGCCAGGTGATACCAAGAATGCGTTGGAGACAACGCATATGAAAAATGTTCACTTCCTCTCCTGCCATGCACAAAGAGTCCATGACTCGCTGCAGTACAGGAGTGTGCTCTGGACACAGGCTCTATAGACCTGGATCTTGGTGTATGCCATCAGCTTCTTATTGAGCCATACTCTCTTTGTGAGTCTTGAGAACGTGGTAGCTGCTTTGCCAGTATGTTTATCCAGCTCCACATCTAGGGAGAGAGTGTCGTTGAGCCAAGGTACACAAATTCATGAACAACCGCCAATTCTTGCGTGGAGATGGAGGGATGTGAGCCCACGCCCTGGCCCATGACTTGTCTTTTCTTCAGGCTGATTGTTAGTTTAAAGTTTAGGCAGGCCTTGGTAAAACAATTCATGAGTTGTTGGAGGTCTTCAGCAGAGTGGGCAACAATGGCTGCATCATCGGCAAAGAGGAAGTCCCACATATATTTCAGCTGGACTTTGGTCTTCACTCTCAATCTAGAGAGATTAAAGAGCTTTCCATCTGATCTAGTCCAGAGATAGACACCTTCTGTTGCAGTTCCAAAGGTGTGCTTCAGCATGACAACAAAAAAAGATCCCAAACAGGGTCGGCGCGAGGACACAGCTCTCTTTCACTCCGTTTTGGATGTCAAAGGGATTTGATGTTGAGCCATCAAACACTACAGTGCCCTTCATTCCCTCATGAAAGGACCTGATAATAAGGAGTCGAGGTGGACATTCCAGTCTTGGGAAGTATTTTTAAAAGGCCATCCCTGCTAACCAAATCAAAGGCCTTTATGAGGTCTATGAAGGCCACAAAGATTGGCTGTTGTTGTTCTCTGCATTTCTCCTACAACTGTCTGAGGGAAAAATACCATGTCAGTGGTGGATCTATTAGCTCAAAATCCACACTGTGATTCTGGATAGACTCTGTCTGCAAGCACCTGGAGTCTCTTGGCAAGCAGCTTCCCTACATGGACAAGCAGCTTCCCTACAACACTGAGAAGAGAAATGCCACAGTAGTTGTGGCAGTTGCCCGTTTCCTTTATTCTTATACAATGATGATGTTTGCATCCTTCATGTCCTGTGGTACTCCACCTTCCCTCCAGCAAAAACAAAAGGCTTCATACAGTTCGGTGATGATGATCTCTTTACAGCACTTCAGCTCCTCAACAGGGATGTTATCCTTTCCAGGTGCCTTGCCAGAGACAAGGCAATCCAAGGCTGCTTTTATTTCTGTTAAAGTTGGTTCGCTGCTCAACTCTTCCAAGACAGGCAGGCACTCAGTGGTATTTAATGCCTCTTCAGTTACTACATTCTCTCTAGAATATAGCTCAGAGTAGTGCTGCACCCAGCGTTCCATCTGCTGTGCTCAGTCCTGGATGATCACAACTGTTGCAGTCTTCAAAGGAGTAGATTTCTTCTGTATTGGACCTAAAGACTGCTTGATACCATCATACATTCCCTTAATGTTACCTGTATCTGCTGCTATCTGTATCTGGGAGCAGAGCTAAAGTCAGTAATTGTTGGAACATCTACTGGCAGCCTGTTGGACTTGTCTTAACAAACTTCCAACCTAAGGAGCTGAAAATCTAAACAGCAGAGGGAACTGTGGGCTACATATGTGACAAGAGGACAGATGTTGGGTACCAGATGTGTCTGTTCACAACAACTCTGCAGAACAAAATCCTAAGGACACAGCTAAGTAGCAGAAACTAGGAACTTCTAAGAATGTTGTCAGTGTAATAATTCCTACAGTCCTAAAATTTACTTTACTCAAAGCAAAGGTTAAGTACCCCTTCTGAAATCAATCTAAGCCTCGAAATGGAATACTATGTAGCATTAAAAAATTTTCAACTTCTGGAAAAACTCACCAGTATATTTGCCACAAGTAAGGAATCTGCTGGTTTAAAAGCTCTTCTGTAAAAGTTGCCTTATACGAAGGTGGTGTGAATTCAATTGGCATGGGAAAATTCAAAAAGTATCTAGAACAAAGAGTCTTTTTTCAGTGTGAAAATATTCACTACACAAAAACAGTATCAATCTTTTTCAGGCAACAAAAATAAACAATCTGAGCAAAAATTAGTGTGCCTATTGCACCACACTCTTAAGAAAATCCTAAAGAAAACTTGCACAGCAGAGGTACTCTGTATAATCCAATTTTTTTTTCTCAATCGATCCCTCCAGTGGACCTTTGAATCACATACGACTACTTGTATGGTAGCAAGTTGCCCCAGAACACCGCCCAAAAAGATAGTTGTTGTTAGCGTTTATTTTGCATGCCCTGGGTGTCACAAAGAAGCATTTAGTGCCTACAGCATCACTTTAGCAATTCTACATGCCTCCACCTTACAGCCATGTCAACATTATGAAATATATTTACAATTATGAAGGTAAGTATTATGAGAGAAGCAGCTTAAGAAATAATGTTCTCATACTAGGAATACAGACAATAACATTGTTCTGCCAGCAGCTGTGAAGAAGCAGAGCAGTAGTGGCTCCAGATGGTAGACTACAACTCCCATAAGCCCCAGTTGGCATGTACAGGAATGAAGAGGGGCACAGACCAATATATTGAGAGCTACATAACAAAACCTTACATATCTGTGCAATTAGCCTGCAAAAACTGAATCAGAGCAGTGAATTTAAGAACTGTGCATGGAAGAGGACTGGGTACTTTGGCTGACAGAATGAGCTTTGTAAAACAGTAGCCCCTTCATGGATTGCTGCCTTGTCATGACAAAGGGGCTTGAGTAATTCAGAGAAGGATTGGGCTATGCCGTGCAGGGACACCCAAGACGGACAGGTCATAGTGGAGAGTTCTGACTAAACACGATCCACCTGGAGAAGGAACTGGCAAGCCACTCCAGTATCTTTGCCAAGAAAACTTCATGGACAGAAACAAAAAGCCTAAAACATATGACGCTGGAAGATGAGACCCTCAGGTCGGAAGATATCCAACATGTAACTGAGGAAGAGCAGAGGACAAGTACAAGTAGCTCCAGAGCTAATGAAGTGCAGACATGGTCTAGAGGGGCGGGGTATAAATTTAATAAATAAATAAATATGGAAGTGAGAGTTGGACTATAAAGAAGGCTGACCGCCAAAAAATTGATGCTTTTGAATTGTGGTGCTGGAGGAGACTCCTGAGAATCCCCCGGACTGCAAGGAGAACAAACCTATCCATTCTGAAGGAAATCAACCCTGAGTGCTCATTGGAAAGACAGATCCTGAAGCTGAGGCTCGAATACTTTGGCCATCTCATGAGAAAACTCCTTGGAAAAGCCCCTGGTTTTGGGAAAGTGTGGAAGCAAGAGGAGAAGAGGAAGACAGAGGACGAGATGGTTGAACAGTGTCATCGAAGCTACCAACATGAATTCAACCAAACTCCGGGAAGCAGTGGAAGACTGGAGGGCCTAGCGTGTTCTGGTCCGTGCGGTCACAAAGAGTCACCACATGACTCAAGAACAATAATGAGCTTTGTACTAGCAGAATGAAATGACTGAATAAAACTCAATCCACTTTGGCTTACTTTTAGCTAGTTGTGTTACACCCATATACAAACCACCTTCACTAAGTATCTCAGAACTGTGAACTGCCTTTCACTGTAGTCAATTCTGAAGGCATAACCATCTTTATGAACAAATTCACAAACATCTAAGAAATCTGCAAAATAATATGTCACATAAAGATCTGGAGAAGCATTTCTACAGTAGAACCCTTAAATTAACACAAGCAGAATTCTGTCTTAATTATGTCATGGCATCAAGGAATGCATAGGTTATGTGGCAGACTTACCGTAACAGATCCACAGGACTGCTTCCTTGAGGTACAGACTCAAAAAATGCTGCAACAAAGGCTTGCAACAGTGGAGGAATACTATCTGATCTATTCTGTTATAAAAGAATAAATGTGGCATTAGACCTTATTAAAATAAAATGAGTACGATCCAAGATTATGTGAAATACATTTCAATGTCTCCTTGAAACCAAGACAATTCAACAGGTTTTTATACAGTGACACAGAAAAAGGAAACTTCAGTCAGCTATTGTACAACAAATGAAACATGAACGGCAGTGCTTTTAGTATTTACCATGCAACTCTCACTTCTCTACAATGTTCTCGATTAGACTCATTATTTCACCTTTCACATGCTACTTAAGAAAGGCTACGAAATGTATGAATTACATGGACTGCTGTTGTTTCTTTGTAATGTTTGTGATTTTGTGAACCACAATGTTCAGATCCACATTTCAGATCTGTAGCCTCACAAACAGTATTGCATTTGGAAAGAACACACAATCAACTCCTAATCCAAGTTCTTATCTTGTAACTTTGAATGAGTTTGTTACAGTGGTGTCCCACATGACAATGATAATCCGTTCCGTAAAAATCGCTGTAAAGCGAAATCATCGTCATGCGAAAATAAAAAACCCATTGGAATGCACTGAACACCGGTTAATGCATTCCAATGGAGGAAATACCTGCTTGTTTTGCGAAGATCCTCCATAGGGGAAGCCATTTTTGATCGCTGTCTTCCGGAAATAGGTCCAGAAAACAGTGGGGAGCTATTTTGAGAACCGCCAATCAGCTGTTTCTAATCGTCGTCCAGCGAAAAAAACGGTTCCCGAAGCAGAGAACTAGTAATCGTTAAGCGGAATACCCCACAGGAATTATCGTTTTGCAATCACAAAAAACTCATCGTTAAGTGATTTCGTCGTGAAGCAGGGTCATCATCAAGCGGGGCACCACTGTATTTGGTATTGAACAAAATCTTGAAAACCGAGGAAAATCTGGCTTCCGATGTTCAAAACTTCGAACCCCCAAAACGCCTAGCTAGCATGGCTAGTAATACAGGATTCTGGAGAGTGCTAGTTGTCTAAGACCTTGGAGACCCAAAAGAAATGTTAGTCTTCAACACCTGCAATATCAAATATCCCTGACTTAATGTGTTACAAAATACTTGAAGCAAATTGCTGATGTTTTACCTGCATCATGAAGAATTTGCACATATAGTAGAAAACCTGAGCATTTTTAGGGTTCTTCTCAAAAGCTGTAAGCCATACATCACAAGCCCTTTCAATCTGACCTGTCCGCAAGAATAAACCAACCAAAGTTTCCAAAAGCTGACAGTCAAGAGGATTAAATTTCATGAGTGATTTGCAAAGTTCAATAGCAGCTTCCCACCTTGAAAAGAAGAGTAAAGAACACTTCCTTCAACAATTTCACAGATAAAGTTGACTACTTTAAGATAAACAGCCTAAGAAAAACTTAAAAGTGTGTATGGACTACTTTATTCTTTAAATATTATCTCTGACTATTCCTTATTTCAATACAAAGGTTCAAGAAACTACGGCATATAACACAGTATTACTATGCATTCTGAATATCAAAGTTTAAGAGCACAGGGGAAAACACGAACTCTGTACCACCAACCAAGCCTTACCGTTCCAACAGCTTCTGCAAAACTATCATGTTTCTGTATAATGGAAGACAATGAACCATACTTTCATCCACTGAAATGTCTCCACTGGTACATGACTGAATGGCATCTAAAAAAGACAAACATGGAAGCAAGAGGTCACAAACACAAACCTCTGCTGTAAAGTAAGTTTACATGGTAGTTACCACTGAAGAGCCTAGCCTTGGAAGTTGTGTGTGAATTAGCTATGAGCTAATTTCACAACTTTTCAAAAGCAGAAGCATGTTGATAATCCATCAAACTATTCTGAATGATCATTTCACCATATGCAATCTTCACAAAAGCAAAACTAAAATTGGACATTAGGGCCATTTCCTCTCTTAATTAAGCTTGTTGCTAAATCAATGCATTCACCAACCTAGATAAAAATCAAGTATTTACTATAAAACAATGGTTTTAAAAAGTGAAAATCACACCTCCAGTGTGCAAACTGAGAGAACAATGGTGTAATATCCTCACACAAGGCATGTGATGTTTGACTTTTATGTCCTGAAAGCCAGATGTGCCTCATTTTAAAAAAAACCTACCAATATTGAACAGTTTTAATATATGCACTTTGGCCCTAATAAGTGAAAGAATGCACCAAACTTGTAAGTTACAGGAAAAGGTTCCACCTCACTAAACATCCATATAATTCCAAAAATCTTGGTGTTCTGAATATTTTGGCCAAAATTGTGCTCTCTCATGTGACTGCAGAAGGGTGACTGTGCAAGCACTTCCTCTCCTTCACCGAAGACCATATTTTAATCTGTTCCCATTAGCTAGTAAAAACTTTTCATTACAATTCAATGACCACATTTCTGTTGCTTAATAGTAAATTGCCCTAAAGTAGGCACATCAATAAAAGGAAAGGAAAAACCTGAGATCTGTTCAAGAAAATTGGAGATATTAAAGGAACATTTTGTGCAAAGATGGACATGATAAAGGACAAAAATGGTAGGGACCTAACACAAGCAGAAGACGTTAAGAAGAGGTGGCAAGAATAAAAGAGGAATTACACCAGAAAGATCTGGATGTCCCGGACAACCTAGATAGTGTGGTTGCTAACTTGGAGCCAATAATCCTGGAGAGTGAAGTCAAGTAGGATTTAGAAAGCATGGCTAACAACATGGCCAGTGGAACTGATGGCATTCCAGTTGAACTATTTAAAATCTTAAAAGATGACGCTGTTAAGGTGCTACACTCAATATGCCAGCAACTTTTGGAAAACTCAACAGTGGCCAGAAGATTGGAAAAAATCAGTCTACGTCCCAATCCCAAAGAAGGGCAGTGCCAAAGAATGATCCAACTACCATACAATTGCACTCATTTCTCATGCTTGCAAGCTTATGCTCAAAATCATACAAGGTAGGCATCAGCAGTACGTGGGTCAAGAACTTCCAGAAGTACAAGCTGTATTTGGAAGGGGCAGAGGAACTACAGACCAATTGCTAACATGCGCTGGATTATGCAGAAAGCCAGAGTGTTCCAGGAAAACATCAGCTCCATGATCACTGCAGATGGTGACAGCAGCCACAAAATTAAAAGATCCCTGCTTTTGCGGAGGAAAGCTGGACAGCATCTTAAAAAGCAGAGACATTACCTTGCCAACAAAGGTACGCATAGTCAAAACTATGTTTTTTCCAGTAGCGATGTAAGCTGCCCCGAGCAGACATGGTCTAGAGGGGCGGGGTATAAATTTAATAAATAAATAAATATGGAAGTGAGAGTTGGACTATAAAGAAGGCTGACCGCCAAAAAATTGATGCTTTTGAATTGTGGTGCTAGAGGAGACTCTTGAGAATCCCCCAGACTGCAAGGAGAACAAACCTATCCATTCTGAAGGAAATCAACCCCGAATGCTCACTGGAAGGACATATCTTGAAGCTGAGCCTCCAATACTTTGGCCATTTCATGAGAACAGAAGACTCCATGGAAAAGACCCTGATGCTGGGAAAGTGTGAAGGCAAGAGGGGAAGGAGACTATAGAGGACGAGATGTGGACAGTGTCATTGAAGGTACCAACATGAATTAGACCCAACTCCAGGAGGCAATGGAAACAGGAGGGCCAGTTGTGCTCTGGTCCACGGGGTCACGAAGAGTCGGACAACTTAACGACTAAACAACAACAACAAGAAGGCACACCAAATCACTGGGGTTGACTGTATTGTTGACAAAATACTACCAGAAAGTTAAAAATACTTAGACACATATTTAAAACAATAGGTCAAAATCCTGTTCAGAAAGCTCCTAAGTGGAAGACAATGGCAGAGTAGATTTTCCAAAATATTACATTTAGGGATTTCTCCCACACACACACACACAACGTGAATTGTTTTAAGAATTAATGGTAATATACATAGGCGTTAGTATCCAATTATGTTCTATTATGGCCTCATGTCCATATACCTGACATCTAAGCATCGGTGTATGTTGCATGACTGAAACACAGGCCTGCAACATTTTTAAATGAAAGAGTGAATGCACTCTTCTGTACTTTGGAATGGCAAAGGATAGGGCTCAAAATGCAATCTTTTCCAGTCACTATACAGAACAGATTCAATTAATAAAACCTACAGTGATTAAACTACCTTACAATAGAATGCTGGGCATGACTACTTAGTAAGTTTCACTTTCAGTGGGACTAACTCCCTAGGTGAAAGCACATATGATTATTACCTTAGATCCTCCTATATCCCTATCTCTTTTCAAAAAATAGCAAAAGCCATTAAATACTCTATGGATTTACACTGGTAGAATTACCTTCAAACAAGGCTAACAATGTATCAGGATTAGCCTTCACATCTTCCACTGTTTCCCAGGGTATTAAAAATGGTTCCTTCTTCATTATTTTGGAAGGGTTGCTATTAGCAGGATCATAGAACTTGACTGGGAGGTTACCAAATTCAATCAGATGTATGTAGGATAGCCAAGCTAAGCAGCGATCACGTATGATGAGGTGTTGAACTATAACACTGTCACTTGCTGATTTCAAAGCATTCTGTGGAACGGAAAGTATAGAGTGTCTGCACTTGAAAACTTAAGGCTAGTGCTGCAGTATTAATGCTTTATCATAAAAATGATCTAGAGATACAACACCAGACAAATAAGGTATCATACAAAATAGATTCTCTGTTTCTGTAATCTACTGTGAATCAACCTGAAACACAATTCAAAAGCAGCTAAGGAATACATTGCAAAAATAAAAAAATATATAATAAACCATAAAGACAACAAATAGCCATCTTTTCAATTAAACAAAATAAAAGTTTTCAGAATGTCATACCACAAGTTGATAATTTTTTTTATCCACCTAGAATATGCCAATCTCCCTTTGCCCAACTCTATTCCAACCCTCTCCCAAGTTAAGTCTCTCCCTGTCGTCAATGAACCAGGTAGCAAGTACTGGAAAAGATAATCCTAGGTGGAGTAACCATCTCTCAATAAATAAGCCTTACAAATTTCCCAGTTGCAAAAACAGCAAAAAGGTACCCATTTCATTTTGTCACTTATTGTGTAACTAAGTGCAATCAATACAGCCAATAAAAAAACATTTTATCTATGAAATGAGTGTCCATTATTACATTTTCTTCTTGAAATAAACAATGTCATGCTTACAAATCAATACTGTGGGTAAAAGCACATACCTTTTATCAAAGAATGGCAGCACTATAAGCTATAAAAATATATCACAACGATTTCAAAATTCTCAAAAACATAACAATGAAAATACAATTGTCATTAATATAGTATTGAACATATGTCAGTACCTGGAATAATGCAACTGCATTTTGATACTTCCCAGCAAAGAGGCTTAGGTGAACTCTGTACAGCAACATCTCCAGCAAATGAAAGGACCAAAGATCTGAATTCTCTTCACGTTCTGGAGTTTCTGTTAGGAACTGCAGCATCCTCCCACAAACATAATCCTTCCCATCAAAGGACTTTTCCAGATTTAGGAACTAGATAACAGTTAAGTGACAATACAGCATTGTAACCTAACCCTTTTCTGTTCACATAATAAGCACATAATGAATGCAATTAAATGTATGCAACTAAAGCAACCATATTATTTCTCTTAAGAGTGATATGAGAAATATAAAATCGTGTCTACAACAAAATTTGAAAAACTGAAGATGGACATCTGATATAGAACTAAGGACAAATCTCAAAAAGTGCACCAGAAATGCTTTACATGATCCAAGAGATTTCAAATCAAAGTTCTTCTGAGAAAATACAAAGCACTGTAGCAACACCTTCAAAGAAATACAATGAGTTAAAGAACTTATTTCCAGTGCAATTTTGGGCTTCACCTCTTTTAGGGTTCAGAGAAACCCAGTTGTGTCTGAAGTACACCTATGCATTCACAGAGATATTTCAGATTTTTGTTTTCGATTGGCTGCTTGCATTGTAGATTAGCTGTTATTACAGATGACTGCAGCATTTTAAGAGGCATACGACAATGGGAAGGAGACTCAAATAGGTTCTATTGTATTTGAATTTGGTATATTCCTGAAGGTTCTTCAGCCCCCAAATACTAGGGTGTGGGTGAGTGTGGGTAAACATGTTGAACTATTTGGTCTGAAGACTTTTGAGTAAAACAACATATACATTTGATTTGCACTTCGCAAGCCAGAGTCCTGGGAGAACCCTGGTTTGTTGCTCATGAGCTTTCTGGGAGCAGTGTGGCAACTTCCTCCCAGGAAGCACTGTAGCAAAAATGGAGGCCTCAATGCCATCCAACCTCCGAGGGCTAGGCCTTGCCCAGGTCAGCAAAATATGTCTGCAGGTATGGCTCGCTGGCCTGGAACTCCCAGAATTCTGCCCTGAGGAATTCTAAGAATTCTAGGAGTTGCAGTCCAAAAACAAAACAGAACAGGCAATGGTGACTGTGAACGTGTTCTAGAATTCATACTTACAGTCCACCAGATCTTATATGTAGGGGCATATGCCACTGCTGTTTCACACATTTCTTGCACCTCTTCTTTTGTTCCTCTTTTTGAAAATAACTTGAGGTAATGACACCAGATCTCAGAATTGTCTTTGTTATTTTCTAGTGCTCGGGCCAGAACATTCAAAGCAGAATCCAAGCATTCTGAGGATGATCTTCAATAAGAAAAGATTGCACATTCATTTTCATATACTCAGTTCAATAGTACAAACCTAGCTTTCACAGAGATAGGATTTGCTTTCAAAAACTGGTGCATCTCCTCCAATCTATTCTTACATTTATAATAAGTGAATGAGTTTGAAGTTGGTAAAGTCCTGAATAAAGGACTCAGAAAGTAATTCTATGGCACTTGTGGATAATGTGCTGCAACTATGGCATGCTGCCAATATTTTCAGAATACCTGATAGTTTCCTAAGGTGACAAGACTTCTTGTGAAAAACTGTTTCTGAACTGTCATCTTTGTTAAGACAGACATTTCCTGCTTTACAGTAAAAATATTTTTAAGAACAGGAAAGACTTCAGCTCCTCTCATTGGTTAGAAATCTACTGAATTGTATCCATCACTCTTTTTAGCAGATGAATCCTCTTCCTACATCCATGCTGAAATCAAGCACACCCTGACTTAAAAGTATCAGATAATTTTATTACTCTTACTCTGTGCACACAGTAAAAGATCTAATCTCTTCTTCCCCAATTGCTTTTAAACAATAACCCACTTGTAGGTCAGCCAAAGAAACAAAGGGTCCTTTGATGGACTGGATTACAGCAGCACAGGTGAGACTTAGACAAGTCCAACTGATTTGTTTGCATACGAAGAATTACCTACCCTTCATTTTGATTCAGATATTTATAAGCCAATTTGAGCCAAAGCTGAACATTATAAGGGTTCTCAAGTACGCTTGCCTCCAGGTTTGTAATGTCATCAGTCTCATTTGTAAAATAACGAACATCATCAGGAGTCACAACAGCATCCAGAGCAGGAATGTTTATTTTACTTTCTATGGTGGGAACTGCAAATAAAAACATCTTTTTCCACAACTGCCACAATTTTCACAGGTGAAATCAAACCTACTCTTTGAGCTTACACTTTAAGCTGAGGACAGTTACTGTTCTGGCTGAACATGCAAATTAATCTAAAAGCTAAATCTATTAGTGAGAAGAATATAACTTTCATGAGAAAACAAAATGAGGAATTCTGAATTGTTAGTTAAAATCTGCATTTACCTTCGATTTACCCTAAAATGTGAGAGGTGGATTGAACCAACAGTGGGAAGCAACAATAATAAACTCTACCAGAGGTTTGACTGAACACTATAAATGTTGATTTTTCAAGTCACTGTTGAATTACTGTGCTATCAAACCAAAATATTTAGAACTCCCTCTAATATTTAACAGCTGATTGACTAAGATGCAGACCTAAGCCTTCTTGAACAGAAATGTTTTATAACCAGCTGATTATAAAACATGGCCTAAAGAAACTCTATAACCTCCACAACTGCTTCTTAGAAAAATGTTTAAACGTTTTTGCAACTGTTTTACTACAACGGGACCAATTTAAGCAGGAACTGAGATACATATAACCAATTGGGAAGGTTTTTATCCACAACAGTTGAGTTTTTGGGGATGTGTTTCTTTTCTTTTCTTTTTGTCTGACAATTGAGGCAACACTCCAAATTAGCTGTACTATGTTACTGTTACCGTATTTGATAGGACCAGAGGACTGTTCCTCTTCATTGCTGGTATCACTGTCTAAATGTGGTTTTTTCCAGTACTTAGGCCTCCACCTCCTTTTGTCTTTCCATGTTGTATATGGAGGAGCTGTTAACAAAATAAGAAAACAGAATAATAATTTTGTTAAAAATTACTGTGTATTGATACAAAGTACCTAAGAAAACCTCACAAACAAATCACATACAGACATGCTAGAATTTAACTTACTGTGACCTTTGCTCTCGTTAACATTACTAACAAGAAGAACAGCCATTTGATCCATTGCCATGCGATCTTTGTTCACACCAAAAAGTTTTTCAACATATTTTTCTGAAATGAGATGATTAAAGTATCCATGAAATTTGCTACTGTCTATATCATGCATCCATATAGCCAAAGGAAAATCTGCAGATCTAAGCTTAATCCTTTGTTAAAGGTTAAAGCTGTAAGAACTTGCACAGACTTTCAAGAAATTAAATGTGCATAACAACTTTAATGTCACTTTATTTAGTGTTCTTACACTGTAATAGTGTAGAACAAAAGCAAGTGTTAAAGTTACCATTGACCTGAGTCAAATGACAGAATTTATGAAACCGCCAAGATACATACCTGCTGCAGTGCTGATTTCTTCATCAGTGCTTTTCTCTGAACACCCTATCAAAGCTAAATTGTATGAAAGAATATCTTCAAATAGCTGACTCCGACTGAGAGTGCAGTCTTTTGTGTGCTGCCTAAAAAAGTGAAATTATTCAATCTTAAAACAGTCAAAAGAAAAAGTCTCTGCAAACAATATACTAAAAATACATGAATGTTGCTCTTTAAAAAACTAAAGGCAAGGGTACGTGATGCCTTTATTAAGCCACAAAATCTCTCTCACTCACACACATACACACTTTCAAGTCTCTCTGACTTGGAAAAGATAACCCAGCCACCAAGGGTGGACTTTCAAACCTACTCTCCTGACTTGTGTTTGCAGCCTGCACTTTAGAACTCGCTTTTAAGAAAAAGACCAGGTATGAACATTTGCTCTGACTTTTTGAAACTTTCATATTTTTTCTGCACCATCCACAACACAGAGGTGTCTAGCCTGATGACAATATTTAAAACTATTCTAGTTGTCAGAAGACTACCGTTCTAAGTTGAAAGTGTTGAAAGGAGTAACCAAGTCCCATAATTAAAGAAACAGACATGCTCAACACCATTCCCTTACTCTGTTATCCACAGTTACGCTTAGGGGATTGATGTGCGTAACATTAAACAATTCTTTTCAACCCTTTCTCACTCAAAAGCTAAATGACTTAAGAAGTGGGAAAAACCTTATTAAGAAAACAAGCTTGCTGGGATTCCTGAGGTAACCACTTTGGCAGTATTCATTGCTCAAAGGAAAATGCGTATTACTTGGGTGCTGATGGAAGAAATTACTCACCAGCGACAATCATCATCATTGCATGTGCCTGTTAGATCAAAACGACAGAAACACTGTTTGGGCTCAATCATATTGCTGTAGGATACTGAACTGAGGTAAAGCTTTTCTTTTGTTCGAAAATAAGGACTAAACCTAGAAAGGGTAAGTAAAACCATAATGCATTAAATATTCAGTCAAAGATTAGCCCTTTGCACACATGGTGAAATAGCCACCTGACTTCAAAGGCCCCTACTTCTAAAAAACAATAATTGGTTATGCAGCGCCACCTGCTGTTTATGCCAAAGAGGGAAAGATTACTGTTTTTCTTTCCTTGCACAGCTCAGTGGATTGAAATGCTGGTTACAGAGCCAGGGGCAGGAGGATCTGAATCTCCACTGTGCGTACCGAGAAAGGGGTTCAACTGAGATCACCTAGAGAGTGTATGCTGATGCAGTTACATGTCCTGCCACCTGGAAGCACCATCAGAAGAAGAGACTGGTAAACTGTTTTAGAGTCCTTTATACCTAAAAACTCTGGGAAGGTTACCGTAAGTCAGAATCAACTTGATGGCACACAGTTCTTATTACTGAATCCCTAATACTATGTCAATATACACTATCACATTTGACCTTGCTTAGGTCGCACAATCTATTATTTTATCCTCACTCATCTATTTTAAACTTTAAAACAGTACTAGAACAATAACACAAAAAGTTAGGCTATTAGTACTACTATGAGTAGTACTGTACTACTGATAGTTTTACTACCTGTGGCTGCCCCATGAATAATATGGATCAACATTAAATTCATGCTTCCTACACCCAGGAACTATGTAAATGTGAATCACTGCAAGACAATTTTTTCTGTTTAATTTCATTCTGAACTATTCTGAATAGAAGTATTGTATATAAAAGTCAGTTTTGGGTTCATTTGCCACAGGGGCTTCCAATGATGACATGTTCATAAAGAAACCTTTAGCTAACCTTCCCTACCTTGGCACTCTCTTCACATTCTGAACTACAGTAGAACTCTCACCGTCCCAAACCAATTTGCCTACTGGTTTGGGTTGATACAAGCTGCAGTTCCAAACCTTTGAAGGGCACCAGGCTGAGGAAGGGTTACTCCAAGCTTTAAGCAATGCATGTCCTATAAACAGCAAGTATTATCCAGAAGAATAATCATGCATGACTGTGGTATTTTCAGGCATGACCCACTTATATGTGTAAACAGATTAGTAGATATTTCTGATGCTTGCTCTCTCCCGTTCTATACTGACAAAGAAAGCTACATAGGGAAAAGATATCTAAAGGCTCTGCACCAAATGGTCCTTTCTACTATGTTCTGATTGCAACTCCTTAGATGTAATGTGTTCTACATAAGCTGTAGCACATATGGCCACAACATGCAGAACATGCTATTAAAAATGACACTGGATTACAATCTTTGTTTCATAAATTTTGTTTTAAATAATTGAGCATTTTAAAAAGTGAGTTCATGATCAATTTCACATTATATGTTTTTTAATATGCTATCTATGTTCTACATCCCTAAAAGTAACTACAACAGGTTTTTGTTCACTGGGGAAAAAAAATCCCCACACATTACCCCAAAAGGGACAAGGGGATTTCTTCAGCAAATAGTTTCCCCTCAAACATTCTCTAAGGGTCATATTTCTGAGGGTCACATGGAGCCCACAGATCACATGTGCCTTACAGTATTCAGTTTAAATTTAATCTTTCCACCAAAATTCTCTTTTTCTCACACGTGAGCATGAAGGAAGGATCATAAAGATACCTATGCTTCTGCAATTACTGTATTTTTTGCACCATAAGACTCACTTTTTCCCCACAAAACAGGGGTGTGGAAAGTCTGTGCGTCTTATGGAGCAAAGAAAACAGATTATATTTTCCTGTTTTCTTCTCCTAAAAAATTGGTGCGTCTTATGGAAAGGTGCGTCTTATGGAGCGAAAAATACGGTATATTTGCTAATACCAATTATCATTCCCTTGACTTCTCACTCCCCTTCCATGCCATGAAATTTATTTTTACAATAATCCCCACTGAAACCCAAAACAGACATGGTGTATCTTCTTTAGCAACTAAATTACATACCTGTAAGATTTAAAAACAAGAAGAGGACTATGATATGGTCCAAATGGATACGGCTTTCCCTCTGTTTGTTTATTTGGAGCTGTAAAGGGGTCTACGTCTACCTTTATTTCCTGGGGGGGAAGCATACATATTTCCTTTTTAATAATGTGCAGACTGAAGCCACAATGACACATTAAAAAAAATTACTTGGCCATATCCTATTAGTTACACCTGCCAGGACTGGCAGCAAATTACTGCACGTTAAGATGTTAGCATAAACTTCTGCTTTTGGGCACCAAGATTGACAATTTAGTGCACAACAGCAAGTGCTAACTTGTGGCAATTCATCATGTTTTATGCTGATTGTGGTATGCTCACATAAAAACACAACAGAATTAAGCCACTATAATTCAATACAAAGAATTACCTGTCCACATTTGTTTTCTTCATTAGGAGCCATAAGAGCTGTATTGTTTTCCAATACATGCTTCAACCCATCCGCTCTTGCATACAATTTTTTTAATTCATCAATATTCAGTCCCAGAAAAAGCTCTGGTTGCTCCACTGTCTTTTTAGACTGCTTATTTGTACTTTCTTGCTTGGGGGTATCTATGTGTTTAAGATTAGGCTTAGTACAAGAATTTGATTCTCTGAAAGACCTCCTTCGTTCTCTATTGGAGTGGGACAAAATTTCATCATCGCAATAATTCTCTTCAATATCTAAAGTCAGTTTGTCTTGTGTTAAATCATGAAGGGAGGGCTGAGGTAGTGCAAATTCAGTTTCTTCTTCAGGAAGAGTGAAGACATTAGATCGGCCTTTAGTTTGATGTGCCTGGGCCTCCTTTAGTTGCTGAATTTTTAGAGCATACTCATACTGTAGTTGCTGTAGTCTTTTTTTCTCCAGTGCTATCAACTCTGCTGAATGTTTTTTTGGACTCAATGAAGGAGATTTCTCCAATTTCATTATTTTGTTCGGCTGTCAAGAAACAAAAATAAATAACAGCAATACAGCCAAAATTTAAAAAATTAAGTAAAATAAATTGATGAACATGTAACTTAATGTTATGACTTTTTTGCTAGATACAGTGGGGTCTTGACTTAAGAACGGCTTGAGTTAAGAACATTTTGACTTAAGAACCACTCTCATAGGAAAATACTGACTTGACTTAAGTACTTAGATTTGAGTTAAGAACTGAAAAAACCCCATGTGGGAGGCAGGGAAAGTGCAAAATGTGAACTTTCAGTTAACTGTTGGCCAGTGAAAAGGGTGCCTGTCTGCTTCCTCACTCCTCCCAGCGTTTAGAGAGTGGATTGGGAGACAGTCTTCAGACTGCCTGGTACTGTCCTGCATGGACTGTATTTTTCCTGCGTTCCCTGAACCTTTCTTGACCTAAGAAAAAAAGAAACAAAATATCCCCTCTAGTGGTCGTAGGCGGAATAGCAGCTTCCCATTAGTTTCTATGGACGGAAAAGAGCAGATACGGATCAAATGGTTTCCAATGCATTCCTATGGGAAATGCAGATTTGACTTGAGAACTTTTTGACTTGAGAACCGCCTTCCAATACGGATTGTTCTCAAGTCAAGACCCCACTGTAATATATCTACACATGAGAAAACCACAACTTGCCACAAGTCTAGTAGCCTATTCACCTGTGAGTAGTGGGATTTTTGTCTTTTTCCATGTAAGAAGCAGACCCAAATGTATTAAAAACTGTTTCTGAAAATTCGTTCCAAAAATGCTTCCCCATGCAGCAAGCAGGATTACTGTTTGAGAAACAACCCTAAACCCTCCTCCTCAGTCTTCAGAAATAGCTGAATGATCCCTAGATCTTGGTCAACATTCAGAGTGTAGCAATCTTGTTTGAAAATTTCAACTGCACTTACAAATTGCTACTTTTTTTTTTACCAAACAGCTATGACCAGAAGTCTATCTTCTCTTACTACTGACCCTGCTTCCTGACCTATAACCTAAAACAGTACAAGCCTAATTTATACAGTAACCAACTTTGTAACACTAAATTTCTAAGAACAGCCTTACCTTCAAATGGTCATATTCAAGCTTTCGCTTTCCAATTTCTTTGCTAGCCAGTGCTTTTGCTCGAGCAAGGTCTTCTCCATATTTTAGTGCCAGTGCTTTCTTTGTCATTACGCGTTGCTGTACTCTGTGGATCTAAAGCATTTCAACATTCTTCAGAAAACACCACATCTGAATCAAAGCATGTTTGTAAAGAAAATAAACTGATAAAATGAGCCCTAAATATGCTTGCTCATATGACAGAGATCTAAAAATTACTACTGCATAAACATATATACCTACACACCTATACATGAAATCAACTTACTTGTTCTTGAAGCTTCTTCAAAAAAATCTTATTGGCATTTAATATCTTTTCTGTTGCTTGCAGCTGCTCATTAAGTTTAGCAATTTTGCTTTCGGCAAGACGAACGGACTCTTTCTTCTTTGACTCTTGTTGTATAAGATGCTTCAATACAGACTCATCCTTCATTAAGAGAAGTCTAAACAAACCAAACAGAAGGCTTACAATCTTTCTAATATAAAACTGTAGACAATCACAACTATAACCAGGACTACTGGAAACTTGCAGACTTTCATAGCTTCTACTATCTTTTTATCTGAAACCATTTTAAAAATAATTTTGACTGAAATATTTCTATTAGAGGAAGAATGCCATTAGCAAGAAGTCAAGTACCTAAGAGTTGAGAAGTATTGCTCTTGGCAATTCCACCCACAAGGATCAACACATTGCAGACTATTCCCCACCCCCATTTTGTTAAAAAACATACTTAAAACAATTACCCTTACATTTAATGTGTGCTGACACTGAACAGAAAGGCGGTTTCTTTGAAGGTAAAGAGTTCAGATATCTTTATAAGCAAGACCCTAATATTTTATACATTAAAAGAAGAACAGTGGAGAAAACTAATAAGTACTGTATCTAGTTCTGAATCACATCATGTTTAACTTCAGGCTGATTAGTTTCAGTTTAGAACTAACAATTCAAAATTATCCTTAACGTAGAATTCAGGGAGTACACGTGTACAACCAACCATAAGCTGCCATAATATCATTTGAATACTTATGATACACCAGTAAGATAGAAGTTTTAAACACTTAGCAAATGGCACATATGGATGTGAGAATAAAGCATGAAAAGCAATTTCAGCTTTTCAAGTGTTTTAATTCAAGTATGATGCTGAAAATCTGAGTATATGTCTATGTATCAAAAAAGATCTTGATGTTCCAGAAAAGAATCCAGCTACAAACTCAGAAAAGTAACAAAAAGATGAAGAAGCCAGTTAAGAAATTCAGAAGAACTAGATAAATGGAGCTTAGCTAGAAAGTAACTATAAAGAATTGGTCAATCTTCATCAAAAGGTCCTGTTGTTCCAAGCCTACCTACATAAGGCTAAGATTACAAGAGACAACTTACTTGTGTTTTTTGAGTTTTGCCTCTGCATCTGTAACTTGTTTTTTAACAATTGCTATTCGACCCAACCCATCAACTTCAATATCAGAGTTCACTGGTGATGAACTGGATTTCAGAGGTTCAGTTATTATCAAACGCTGTTTCTCCCGACTAAAGAATTCAAAACATGTTATTGTTGAACTACTAAACATTTTCAAGTCATTTATAATTAAAATATACTCAGTAAACACACACATATACAAATACACACACCTACTCAGTATATATATCTCTCTCGTTGATTTAAAAAAAATCCTTGTCTCTGAGCACGCAATTAAATGTTGGAAAATTACTCTAAACTAAACTAAACAAATTTAGAATAAATTTGATAACTGGATGAGCCCCTTCAGATGGAGTTTTAAATCACTTCTCCCCCCACATCCCATTAACACTCAAGCAGTTTTCATGATTAGTACCATACAAGACAAGATACCTGGCAATTTCTTCTTTCAGGAGTCTGTACTCTATCTTTTTGTCTTCTGGCAAAGCCTCAGGAGTTCTCACTGGATTATTTTCTTTTTCTGATTTTAAAGGTGCCTTCGGTTTTGATGCCTGTAAACCAAAAGAGCTGATACGATTAGACACTAGGAATTTTAATGAAGTTAATGAAGAAAGAGAAGTCATATTCACAATTTGGACAGGTCCTGGTCTCAAGACCTTTCAGAGACTCCACATTCACCCCAAACATCAAACTAACTAACTAAATAAATTAAAATTTTAAAAAAACTGGAAGTAGCTAAAGTTACGTTCCGTGTCTACTCGCACTGGCCACGTGACCATGGAAACTGTCTTCGGACAAACGCTGGCTCTATAGCTTGGAAACGGGGATGAGCACCACACCCTAGAGTCAGACATAACTGGACTAAATGTCAAGGGGAACCTTTACCTTTACCTAGCTAAAGTTCACTTTCAGTTTTGGAGTGCTAAGCGGTGCAATGACCACCTTGACCTATTGAAGAAATGAAACATCACCTCCTGAAAAATTCCAAGAGCTACAGTTCACATTTTCTTTTCCCCTTGGGGAAAAGCAAAGGCCACGGGCTAAAAATTGTACTACATGTGATCTTGCAACTGCACTTTGCCAATGTAGAAGCTAGAAGTGGCAGGCAAATCTGGGCAAATTCTTCTCAATGAAAGGAAATACCAACTACTTCATAGGAACCCATTTGAAAGGAGATTTCCTACTCTTGCTGTGATGTGCTATGCTAAACAACAGGATTTCAGCCAGTATTTTGAAAACAGAACAAGAGTACCTACAGAATTATCAAAACTAACTAGTAGGAAGACATCTGAAACAGTATCACAATGTTTTATAATAATGGTACTAAAATGGCTAACTGCAACTTATTTTAATGACCTGTCATACCAATATGGTTCTTAAAGCCCCAAAGTCAAACTTCCATTTACTCCTGGACAGAACAAGTCATAAAGACAAAAGCCTAGCAGGGGTTTTAAACTCAATTTACCTGGGGGCCGCTAGAGGCAGAGTCTGGGTGAGGCTGGGCCGCATCAAATTTTCCGCCAAGCGGAGCAACAGCCCGAGGAAGCCGCCCAGGAGTTTCCTTAGCTGACAGACAGGTGGGCTGGCTGGCAGGCTACAGTTCTGGATGGAGGGTGCAAGAGGTGCTGTCTTGGGAGAGAGCTGGCGAGCGAGGCAAGGCTTTTTTTTTACTCTTCACAGCAGAGGATGTGTGGGCACTTTGGGGGGGGGCAGGCAAGGCGAGGGCCACAAATTATCATCTGGGGGGCTGCAAATGGCCCCCGGGCCGCATGTTTGAGACCCCTGGCCTAGAGTATCTGCTTCAGGGGTCTCAAACTCAATTTACCTGGGGGCTGCAGGAGGCAGAGTCTGGGTGATGCTGGGCCGCATCAGATTTTTTTTTTAAAAAAACCTTACAGAATCAGCTTGCCAAAGGAGAAAAGCCCCCATCGGTACCTGTGAAATTAAACAGAACGGGGTGTCCCCCCACAGGTGCACGTGCGCACATGCACACACACACGCACACACAGGTCCGGCAACCTTCCTCTGAGCCCCCCCCTCAAAAAAAGGCGCACTCAGCAGCAGCAGCTACCCCCACCACGACAGAGGAGCAAACTTTGCGAGGTGAGCCCAGGCAGCCTCCAGAGCCGAGGCAGCTGAAGCAGGATAAACACAAGGAGGAGGAAGAGGAAGCACCGCCGAGCGCTGAGGTAGCCGCTGGCCGGGCTGGTGCTGGGGGTGCCAAGAGAGAAAGAGAGCCAAGGAGCCACTTCCCTGGAAGAGGCAGCGGCAGATGCTGTTGGCGCTGTTGGAGGTGCTCTTCGAGGATGGGACAGGAGCGAGCTCCCCTCTCAGGCATTGCTCGGCGGCAGCTCGTGCGCTCATGGAAAAGGGCCGGCAGCGCTCCTCACTCGCCGGCTGTCCCCCTCACTCGCTGGCTCTCCCCTCTTGCACCCTCCATCTGGAATTGCAGCCTGCCAGCCTGTCTGCCGGCTGGCAGGCTGCAGTTCCAGATGGAGGGTGCAAGACGCGCTGTCTTGGGAGAGAGCCAGTGAGTGAGGCTAGGCTTTTTTTGACTCTTAACAGCAGAGGACGTGTGGGTGCTTCGGGGGGGCAGGCAAGGCGGGGCCACAAACTATCATCCAGTGGGCCACAAAGGGCCCCCGGGCCGCATGTTTGAGACCCCTGATCTAATTCCTTCCTTAAAGGTATGTGCACCACTTCAGATAAACATAGAAGAAGTTGATGTGGCTGCTCTATGAGTGCACTTTAGAAGAACAGTGGTTTCAAGCTGCAGTGCCCTTCAGTGTATATCCAGAATTGTTCTTGAGAAATACTTAGACTAATAGACTGAGACATCTATAACATATTGAGCTCTTAATTTTATCTAGGTGCAGCCAGTTTCCATAAGGGTTCTTTTTGGATGACAAGGCTTTGACAGGTATTTCTGCAATGCAAGCCCTGATCAAGATCACCCAGCAAAACCGCTAGTATAGTTACAAGTATGTTGTAAGTCTCTTCTTTCTACATCAGCATTTGTAGAGCCCCTGAAAAGGCTAGGGTTGTAATTAGCAGGGTTTTAGCACAACATCCTCTTGTCAACTGGTGTGACTCAATTTCCAGAAGGCTGTCTGTAAACAGGCAGCTTCCAGGTAGAAGATTAGATGCTGGGTAATTGGGCAAACCAAACTGGACTCTGGATAATCACGCAAAACAGCTATTAGGTTATCTTGTATCATAGACTATCAACGTTGTCCCAGATTCCATTCAGTTCAGGTAAACATGTTTTCTTTCTAATTAGGAACTAGGCCTCGATTAGTTCCCAAGATCTTAAGAGCCACAACCAGCCAAATGGCCAGCCTCCCAAACCCAGACAGCAAGGTCCAACCCTACCGATGAATGCTCACAACTGTTATAACATGGAACAGAACCCACTTGACATTGGTTGGATTCACTGGGATACTTTCTATTGAATCTACAACTTTCCCATTATTCTTAATGAAATGTTCACATAAATGGATACATGAGCTTTGTCAAGAATCACTTGTTATACTGATGATCAGGCAATGACTCAGCCTTTCTTGTTAAAATATTAAAGAGTTTATTTTCTGCTCTTAGATCAAAGTTACCTCTACAAGTAATTCCAGTCTGTGTGACTGATACCCTGGTAAAAATTAACTAACTAGTTAACAGACACACTACAGCTGTTTCCATTGGAGTAGCAGCTGATAGCAACAATTTGTGGCCCTGCATGACAAGTTCAGCATCTCTCATGGCCTGAAAGCAAGGGCAGTAAACAGGACCATCAACCAATGAAACCTTAAGATCATTCACAATGTTTCATATATACATTAAGACCTACGTGTCCATGAGAGAGCCATTCCACAATCTACCACAAATGCCTGAAACTGAGGATAGCAACAAACTTTATATACAACATACAAGAAAGTGGGACAAAGACCACAAGGCCTGCCACCCTGTATGTTGTATATAGGGCTGCAAGTAAACCATGGACAACTGAAACCATGGAGAATGACTCCTTGGATACAGGGGTCCTACTGTAATGAATTTTCATTCTGTCAAATTGTTCTTGCTTTTAACAAGATTTTCTGGAAAACTGGCAAGTGGACAAGCACTTTCTGACAGTTAAAATAGGGAAAACTCACCATACCATATACCGTCATACTCTTATCTGGATGCTAGGTGATACAACAGTCTCACTATTGCTACTGCACTGTTAGGGCCCAAAGGAAACACGTGTACACTAACAAGCCCCCACCAGGCAGGGATACCAGAAAGTACTGATGCATTACTGCAGCTTTCTGTGTTCCATGTGGGACTTGAACAGAGTATGAAGCTACTTATTCTTCAGTAAAGGCAGAGGTAGGAAAGATGTCCCATACCCAATAAGGTCTCCTTTAACCTTCTAAGCGATGTGAAATGACAATGCTGGGGTTTCAAGCACCTCAACCATCCCTGCCCCCCCCTCCCAATTTAAAATATTGTTTTGTCATCAGAAGGCACAAAAGGGATTTTTCAGTAAATATTGATTTTGTATGAAAAGGTTTTCACAGTCAGGGCCACAGAAACAGGACAACAAACGCTCTAAAACCCAGGGATCAGTAGGTGCAGCCACCAGACTACCTATTTTTGCACTATGAGAATCACAAGGTAACGATGCCCACAGGCCCCTTGTACACTAAAACCCTGCTCCCAAAAGATGGGACATCTTCCAGGGAAAGTTTGGTACCTTGGTGGACTACATGGAAAAAGAAGTCCTGGACAGTAGCAGTGCTCTGGATTTACACCAATTACTAGAGCTTTTGCAAATGACCTGCTCCTTGTGCTGCATCTGAAAGGATCAAATGCAATCAACTTCTAAGTTATTGATCTCACAGTCTCCAAGTAATCAGGATGTTGGCAACTGAGGGTGAAATTAGTGCATATTTAAAATAATTTTTAAAAAAGCTAGCATTGGCTCTCACTTCAATCAAGCAGAGTCAAACGCCCCTACTTCTTCTTGCGGCTAAGCAGAAGGACCAGAATTCTTCTTCTCAAAGAGGATACAAAAATTACTTGCCCTGCCTTCTGAGCAAGAGGGCAGCTAACTCTTTCTTTCCTGCTGTCTTAGTTTTAGCCTAGTTATTTATCATTCATGGAAAGCAAAAAGAGAGAGAAATAAAAATAAAGATTCAAACAAAAATACTATGTGTCATGAAATATATTCAAACAAAAATACTGTGTGCCATGAAATATATTCAAACAAAAATACTGTGTGTCATTAAATATGTGCATTGCCCACAAACAACACTTACCTCTACAGTTCTTCTAGCTTCTTTGATCATAGATTCTAGGCCACCAAACACACTAGGAGTGGAATTAGATTGTTCTACATCTGATTCACTGTCATCTGAATCATTCAGTGTAACCACAACTGATTTGTGCTTCGGAAGCTTAAAAAAAGAAAAAGATTAATAATTTTTACTAGGAAAAAAAAGTAAAGCCTGCTACTGTATCGTATTTTAACTGATCATCCAGTCTCAGTCAAGGTCTGGCACTGCTATTTTTATCATTATGCACATTCAACTTAATTATTTTTTCACAATTATACTAATTTCCCAATATTCTGCTCCTGAAACCAGTGTTTTTCAGAAATCACTGTAGTCTGAAATAACTATCATGTTACCAGGAAAACAAGCCATACAAAATGTTTCAAATTCCTAGAACTACAATAGTGCCATAAAATCTCTGTTTTTAAGAGCAGCGGGTGTTCTGAAAACAGAACACAAGAACAGTCCAACTGAGTTTCAATATACCTCCAGTCAAGATACTGAATCAGCCTGAATACAGCAAGTGGGATTTTACACTTTTCTTTCCGAGTTTAACATCAAGTATAAATCAAATTTACATATTAAACTGAAGAACATTTTATTACCGTGATTACTGTTCGAGGTGGCCTTGGTACTCTAATAATCTTTGTGTTCTTTACACGAGGTTGACACACTGTGTTAATACTGACTGCTGAAAGATTACTTCTTGGCACAGAATGTGAATTACTAGGAAAAGGTGGTGATGGTGGTCCACTATTACTTGAATTATCCTAGTTAGAAAAAATAAGAATTAAGTAGTGGATTTCAAAACCAACCTACCATTATATTAAACCATTCTCAAGGTTATACAAGCTGCAAATAAATGCACGTTTTATACAAACATAGCTTTCTCAATGTGACTGATGGATCACTAAACTACTGTCAAATTAGGAAAGTTGCAAAATTTTTAATGACTGCAGATCCCATCAAACTTAGAAATGGCCACTATTTTAACTAGAACCCACTACTCAAATTCAGCAACTTGAACTATTATATTATACTCAAATTCAGCAACTTGAACTATACTACTTCTAATTATCTGTCAAAGGCAGGTGAGAAAATACCAAAACACAGCTGAGACAATTTGTACAGTTCACAACAATCTGGGAAGCTGTAAGCTTATTTTAAAAGGAAAAAAACCCACATTACTTGAGGACTTGGAAGTTTTCCCATTTTGAATCCTCCTCCCCACCTCATTTTTAATTTTCGGTATTCTGCAGACCATGATATGCCATTACTGCCATCTAGTGGTTACACCCAGAAGTTACTAAATACCTCTAGTTTAAACGCTCGCTTGTTTGCTAGAGATTTTAGTAGCTCTTCTCGTAGTAACATTTCTTCCTCTTCTTCTTCATCTGCAAATGGAGGCTTTGGTGGCTGTTCAGGTTCTTCAGGTGGAAGAGGAGGAAGGGGTGGTAGTGGCTCTGTAGAAACACCTTCCACATACACTTGGCTAACCGGTGGCGGTGCCTGAAATATATTCAAAAGATGGAAGATTTCACTATTTGGTTGTTCCAAGCAGCGTACCAAATATGGAAGATCATCTGAAGCTACAGTTTAAAACAGAGAAGCATTATCCCCAAAACCAAAATATATCAGTGGAGAACTACAATTTTCTAAAGAAGAGCTGATGACAGTACTTATCACACACATATCTACATTTGTGACCTATTCCCAGGTAAATGTATAGGATTTCAGCTTAAGTTCTTCTCATAGACAGGAAAGCAACATGTTAAGAAAACCAAATTACAAAACTATTACTATTTAATAGCAGCCAGACATGTAACTACTGAGAAGCAACATTTTTTAAATGCAATATTAAGCAATACCTTTATAGATCACTAAAAAAAATCATAAAATAAATGAGCTTTTGTGGAATACAATACCACTTCATCAGGTTTCTACCAGTGTGAAGAACTTAAAGTCCAAAACGTAAAGTCTAAACATACATGGCAAGATGGATTTAGCCAGGAAAGTTGCTCTTTGTTTGGAGAACTGGGTTGTTACTCATTCCACAGCTGCCTAAGCCACAACAACCATTAGATCCCGGCCGTGAAAGCCTTCGTGAATATATTGTTAACCATAAACTGGACTCGTGACTTCCATCTAAAAGACAAGCCTGACAAAACTAATCTTGTCAAGAACTGCTGGACTTAACATCTAACAGCAACTTTACTGTATGATGATTGTTTAGTGGTCTATAAAAGTATCGCCTATTTTTGTATTTAGATTTTATTTTGTTTGGAATACACAGCTAACCTTTACTTCAATATTTTTTAAAAAATTCATCAGGAGAACAGAAGATATCAAATATATAAAAGCCACCTGTTTTTAAGTGAATATTAATATTAGAAAACCTAGTGAGTAAAATGTAATTTCCTTTTAGCACAAGTACAGTGGTGCCTCGCTTAACAATGATAATTGGTTCCCAAAAAATCGCTGTTAAGCGATTTCATCGCTAAGCAAAACACGGTTTCCCATAGAAATGCACTGAAAACTGGATAATCCGTTCCAATGGGAACGTATTGCCGTCCTTAAGCGAAAATCACCATAGGAAATATCGCTAAGTGAAACACGGTTCCCCAATTGAAATGCATTGAAACCTCAATGGGGGGGGGATTACAATTTAAAAAGAGTCAGAACAAAGTCAAATTAGTTTAACAAAGGGTTTATTAAGTGCACTTATGATTTCAAGCATTCTAAACATTTTTAAACATTTAAAAAACAGCCAACATGAGGCTGTCAAAACCATCGTTAAGAGAAACAGGGGGACCCAAACTGTCATCGCTATGCAAAGCATGGTCCCAAACATCGCTATGCGAAAATCGCCCATAGGAACCATCGTCAGACGGAGCGCAAGATCGCTCCGAAAAAGTCATCGCTAAGCGATTTCATTGTTAAACGAAGCAATCGCTCAGCGAGGCACCACTGTATCATTCCAACAGTTATTAGAAGGGAAAGGTGCCCAGGAGGACTTCATCAATCCAAAGACACTAGCAGATAAAAATGCTTCCTAATTTAGCTACAGAATATCCATTACATTATTTCTTGTTTCAGGTATTTCTATTTCATGTCTGTTTCATCTTACAAAATTACTTACTGAAACCTGGGGTACAAGAGAGAGTGAAATTTGTGGTGCCGCAGGAGGAAAGTATCCAGCAGGACATTCAAAATATGCAGGCTGCACTGGAGAAGATGCTATGAAAGGATTATAAAAAGCATAAAGAGAGGCTGAATTACAAAACTTGGGTTTGCTTTCTACAAACATACTTTACTGCACTATAATACACTTCGATTCATAAACATCAGGACCCATGCAACAAATTACATGGATGGACAAAATGTACAGAGCAAAAACTTACTGCAGAACATTTTCTACTCATTCTTCCTTTCATTCATTCATTCATTCATTCATGTTGTAGACCAATATGGTTTATAAAATACTCCCTTTTTTAAAAAATCCACCAGACACCCTGAAACTATAAGCTAAATCTCTTATGCTACATACTAAACCTTCAAATAATACATATCAAAGAAACAGCCTTCATTACACCACAGATAGCACACAAAACACCTGACTCTTAACCAATTCCATTTTGAACGCAAGAATTCTACATGCTTGTTCTGTTCACCTTCTAAGACTAAAATTGTAAAATAGCACATTCATCTGAAATGAGTACACAGAAATAAAAGGAGAACAATGATCTTTTTCCAAGTAAAATCTCACTTATCCGTGCACAAGTGACATCCAGGTCGAACTGCTATAATGCACTCTATATGAGGCTGCTTCTGAAGATGAGCCAGGAGCCTTAGCTGGCATAGAATGCTGCCTTCTATGGATGTGAACCAGTTTGGGCATAAAACACAAACTCCAAACTTTGCTCTAGCTGCCAGTGTGTTTCCAAGCTTGACCTTTTCGTCATATCTGCTGATTTTTACTTCTGTTCTGAATATTATAACTGCTGTTTTACGTGAAGCCATCTTGAGATGGTTTATTTTGAAGAACAGCTAATAATTTTTTAAAAATTAATATAAAGCACCAACAGTTCCATGTTCAAATCTGCCCTGAACAGTTAGTGACTTAACAGGCAAACATCTGTGACACACCACAAACTTTCTCTTTTTTTACAGTTCAGTACAGCTGAATCAAGACATCTTAGTTTGATCATTCTGTGTAATCAGTTCAAGAAACACTGAATTGTTTGTTTTCTTGGTAACATGGTAGGTATTTCAGACAACAAAAATATTTCAAATGTCTTTTGTAGGAGTCTTGTTACAAAAACAAAGAAAATGTATGCAATATACAAATTTCAGAATTGTTTTGCTAGGAAACTAACCAAGAATACTGTAACATACATATGTAAGGCAAATCAACACTTACCAGGTGAGTTAGTTTCACTTTCTGTGTCCATGGCAACTTCATCATAATTGTCATACTGATAGATCCCTCCTGCACTCTCATTAGATTGTTTATCTAATGATCGTCTCAAATCTTTATCTGAAGACTATAAACATAAAAATGGTTAGACCTACATACAGTGGTGCCTCGCATAGCGAGGTTAATCCGTTCCAGATTAACCCTCGCTATGTGAAAACATCGCTGAACGGATCAAGAAAACCCATTGGAATGTTTCCAAATGGGCCGAAAACTCACCGTTCAGCGATGTTTTCCTATGGCCGGCAGCCATTTTCACGCCCTCCCCTCGCTTATCGAGGGCGCGAAAACGCTGCGCGTGGCCATTTCTGGGCTTCCGGCGGCCATTTTGGAGCCGCCGAACAGATCCGCGGGTCGCAAAGCGAAGGTCAGTAAGCAAAACGCTTACCGACCTTCGCTATGCGAGTTTCGCCCATTGAGGCCATCGCTTTGCGATCGCAGTTGCGATAAAAAAAAACCCTCGCTATGTGGATTCGTCGTTCTACGGTGCGCTCGTTGAGCGAGGCACCATTGTATATTTTTATTTGCCTTCTGGAATGTTCATGATACTGCAATAATTTTGCCCAAGTAGATTTCAGAAAAAAAGGTTACAGCAAGCATGTTTTCACCCATGGCTTTCAGGGAACTATTAGACTCTATCTTCTGTCTAACAGATAAAGACTTTTTTGCAATAAAGATTAAACATTTTACTATAATTATCCAATCATACAACCACAAGAGTAGCAAAACAAAAGCCATCAGCCTTTTCTCAACCTGGTTCTACCCAGATGTGTTGGACTACAACTTCCATTATTCCCAACCAGTGCATGCAGGGCCAATTTGGCTGGTGATGCTGCAGTCCAACTCTTGAGTGCACCAGCTTGAGGAAAGATGAGGTAAACTTTCTTTTCAAAGCTACTGAAATCACATTAGGATCATCTCAAGTATGCTGGAAAGATGTTCTTACCCTTCTTTACAAATACAGAACAGATGTGGCATCTTCAGCTAAACAGTTCAGAATATGCTAGAAATGCTAACTAGCCTGAATTCTAGGTTAATATAAATGGAACGGGTTGAAATGGTGGGCCCACTATAACACAAATCCAGCATGTGGGATCATCCTGCAACCTGGGAATGAAGTAGGCATTCTCCCTGTGCTGGCTTGGGGCCTTAACACCACATCACCAAAGTCCCCTAGCAGATACTCAAGTGAAGCAGGAAAAGTCTACCTCCACTTACTACTACCAATGAATCACGGTTGCCCATGACTGAAACCAAGGAGAGACATGGCAAAACTGTGCCACCACCTGTCACAGAAAAATGAGAAATCAACCACCTTTCTATGAGGTGCTATGCTGTTCTGATGCCAAATGAACAAGCAAATGAAATTCTTTCCTACTACTGACCAGTTATTGAATACAGTCAGTTACCCAGCGAGATAAATTCTCACGATGGCAACCAGTTCAGAGGAAAGAACCTTCTGGCTCAGATAAGACTTCAACCCAAGACTCTCAATATTTAATATTATCTGATTGTGTGCTACTCTGCTGACAAAACCTCCAAGGCCTTTCATTCTAAGCAAAGATGCCGACCATCAGGTTTTCATTATGTTATGGACTGAATGCATTGATCAAACTAAAACAACTGCACATAATTAATGCCTGCCAATTTACCTTACTTCTTGATTGTGTCCTTCCCCCAACCAGCTTCATGAATCTATTATACTGCTCTTCTTGATTTGAAAGATCACGAATTTTTCTTATTTCCTCTTCTCTTTTTCTTCTTTCCTCCTCTTCCTCTTGTTTCCGTTGTTCTTCTTCTTTCTGATGCCTTTCTTGTTCTTTCTGCTGCTGCAGCTTTTTCCATACTTTTGTTTGCTGTTTCCTCAATGCTTGCTTAGCTTGAAATAAAGAATATTACTTAATAACAGTTAATTTTTTTAAAATTAAGAAACAGAATGACTCTCCAAAGAAAATAGCCTGAAACTATTAAACATTATAAAACTCCCTGCTGACCACTTTAATTACAGTATTTACCTGCAGTGCTGTTTTTTTTGGCAGAATGTGATTTTGAACCAATTTTGACCTTTTGCTGTATAGCTTTTGACTTTGTTAATTTCTCCTTGCTTTCTTTCATCACCTGCTGTTCTTTCTGCTGCCACTTTTTACTAGCAGACTGAAGTGCTAGTAATCTTAGCTGCAATTCTGACACTTCCTCCTCTTCATCCACCAGTTTCTATTGTAAGGATAAGGAGACAACACTTTAACACTTCATTCACCACTGAATTTATCAAAAAATGCTCTAGCTCTAAGAAAAGGCTGACATTACGTAGTTACAGAATCTCTTAAAAGAACTAGATTATGCCACAAAGGACAGAAAACAAAATATACTTAAAGTAAATCCATTAAAAACAGTGGAATCTCAGACTTAACAATGTATAAGACTGTTCTGCGAAGTCTACATTTCAGGGGACTTAAATTGAAGCTCTCTGACTATACAGATCAAATCCTTTCCCTACCTTCTCTGCTGTAGCATCTGAAGGGCTAAGTTTTTGTTCCTCCTGTTCCTTTTCACCTATTGGTTTCAAAAAAGACATAAAATAATATTTTTTCCTAATTAGAACAAATTATTTTTAATTACAGTAACTTCTAAAAATGTATATCAAGCAATAATGGAAAGGCTTTTTGGTGTCAAAAACAGTACACATGCCTCAAAGCATCTTTCTTTTTCCCTCAGTGTGCTTTCAGATTACATGGCAGCTGTACATCAGACCGGGAAAGACTGAGATAACTTCCAATCCGCTCCCACTCTTCCATTAATTTTTATAAGCCAATCTCAACTGCTGAAAAAAGTAGCAGCACTATGCAAGAAAACCTCAGGAAGAAGACTTGAGATTCCTCTGCTCACCAGAATCAAGTTCAGTTCAAGAATGATATAGTGCACAGCAGATTACAGGCCACCTACTTTAACAGTCAGTTAGTCATAATGAGACCAGCTTTGTCATATCTGAATTGGGCTCCTTCATAGAAGTGGTGACAAGCATACCAACATTCACCTAGCTGTATCACACATTCTAGAAGCAGACACGTCAAAAAGTAGAACATTCCATTCAAGTAGGACAAGGAAGATATTCTCCTCCACCACTACAATGACAGCACTCTAATGTCATTCCTTCAAGCTTCCAGACAAACAACATTCAAGGAACAAAAAGAGAAAAGGACAGTGCATATCAAAGGTACTGAACAAAAGATGGCCTGATGTTAAAGATCCATTGTTAGAAAACCAGTTATATTCTTTGCTTATTCCATTTTAATGTTACTAAAAATATAGATCAAATTATGTATTATAAGTAAAATATAGTTACCTTGATGAGAATCTGAAACTTCAGATTTTTGTGATTGTTGTTTTGCTCCATCTTTCACTTTTTTCAACTTGCTCCTTTCAGCTAGTGTAGGAAGTTTTTGCCGGAGAGGCTTCAGTTCAAATGCCTGAAAGGTTGTAACTTTATTCTTCTCCTCAGGAGACACTTCACTTACAGTATCCTTTGTAATACTGACATTTTCTATCACTATTTGGTCCTCAGAACTGGCCGTTTCAGTATTATTTTGCTGAATGATGTCTTCTTTGCTACTTAGAGCCAGTTTTTCATCTTTATTTATATATTCAAGTTCCAGTTGAATCTGCTTATATTTCAACAATAAATCCTCAAAACTCTCTTCAACAGAGTTATCATTTTTAGATGAGTAGTTCTGCTTTCGAGATGGCGATCTTCCGAATGTTTTGGCTGATTCATTTGTCAAGAAAAACATCCAGAATATATTTTCCATACTTAATTCAAAGCTAGCAGCAATACATAGCAACTGAAAAGGAAGTGCTGACTTTGCTTTTGGCTCACATCAACAGTTTAACATTTAAAGCACCAATCAAATGTTCCAGGAAACGACAAGACTTCCTATTTTCATGATCACTTACATATAATTTCCTTACTTTCTGCACCAGAAAGCAGCTCTCTTTCTTTCCCCAAACGTTTGCGTTACAGTAATCTCCTCTTCGGGTCTATGGAGATTTCTTAAACCAGTCTTGATTCCTCTCTTACTGGTATGCGCCTTTTCCTCAATACACCCATCATATATGATATTTTCTTCCAAGGTCTACTTCAAGAAATTCTTAAGCTCAAGTAAGTCTTAAATGCACTCACTGCATTGTTGTTACCTGTTTTTAAAAAGGAATCTGATAAAACTTCAAAAACTCATGTTGATGCTTCACCATTGGTAACTCATGTTGGGTATTAAGGGAGATCTCTCGTATTTGCAGCTGTGTATACCTATATCATTAAAAAATGATTCCAAAGTAAACCAAGTACTTCACTAAGAAAGCTCAGTTACCTGTATATTCTGCAGATCTGCATCCTTTCTTGTTCCTAATAATATATTCTACCACTGTTGGAATCTGCACGATTTATTCCAGTTTCCCTAATTCCAGAAAGGATGCAGACAGGAGCGTGAGAGTACCTGTCTGTAACTACTGGAAACTTTGTTAAGCCATTTCAAATTTTTATTTCAGTTGATGTAATCTGTATATTTATGAATACATCCTCCCATCTATAAGTTAGAAATGTTGTTTTCTGCAAATTGTCACATTCTTCAAGTTGTCTGTGTTCCCTTTGAGCCATAACTTCTTCAACTCAACTCAACTTATATGTCGCCCACTCTACCCAAAGGTATCTGGGCTGCTAGGAAGGTAAATCTTAATTTTTAAGTACTGGAACATTATTCTCGTTGCTGACAAGGATTTTCTTGTAAAGCTCAATAGCAGTTTTCAAACGGGCAAGAATGTTTTACACAAAACACTATATTTTGTGCAATCGTGCCAATTATTTAAAGTGCCCTAAACTGGGATGTCTGTGCCTTTATTTAAGAGCCTGTGACAAAAGATAGGCTGTTTTCATCTGTTCTAGTAATCAGCCAGTCCTTCTGTGTTTGTCATATAAAAGAGGAAGAACAACACTTTCCACATTCATTACAAATCTTGAGAGGGGAAAAGTCTTTTTGTCTTGGCTCCAGTGTGGAATCTCAGTGATCTTCAAAATTCTTTATCTTAATATGGAAAAGTGAGAAATTTAGCTAACATTCTTTCCATCCCTACTGATAGCTACACTTACTTTCCTTTCAGTGGCTTTTCTGAGCACTAACTGGAAATCGTCCTAAAATATACAATGTAGTTGCAACGTAAATTAACTGGGAAGTTTTTATATAATACTGTATTTCTCTTACTGGCTAATGAAACTGTGATCTTAGCATTCACCAACCATATCCCTTCTGGTGACTAGTCAGCACAAGAAAGTAACCATGTTCGGCTTAAAGTTTAAAGACATTATTTAAGTTGTGCATGACCACCATCATTTTATTATCATCACTACCACTATTACACGATTGTTACAAAGACTATGCAAGTGTGGTTGCAAAACAAAGAACACTATAAAAACATTTTTTTATATTTGAGTTGCAGTTGTAACACAGTCTGTTAAACCCACATCCAGCTTTGTAGGCACTCCAGGTACTTTTATGTCAGTTCAATTGCTTTTCTAGGAAAAACATTTCATATCTTTGTCTTCGTAGGAAGCATGTGAAATAAAACAAAGGATAATCTTTTATGTCTAACTCTCTAATCTTAAAGAGTTTCACCATTTTTTAAAAAATCAATTTTCCAACACAGTGAACGATTCATAGCCAGCCCATGACAATTACACAGGGAAAGTCAATGAGGGCCTAACTTTTACACCAAGCTAGTCATATCATTGCTGTTACAGCTTGAGTTCAGCCTGTACTGGAATATTCAAATGAAATTAATGGAAGCAGCACTGACTCTTTTTTTGTTGCTACATCATTTTTCTAACCACTTTCTTGAAAAAATCTCAAGGTTCACCACGTCAACAGTTTCATCTTCTCAAGAAACCAACAAAAATAACGACTTGCCATCCAATGGCTTTGCAGCTCAATTCAGGAGTCAATGTCCCACAACCAACATTATCTACTGTAGAGCCTCGTGGCGCAGTGGTTAAAACGCTGTACTGCAGCTAAAAGACCTGGGGTTCAAATCCCAGGTAGCCGGCTCAAGGTTGACTCAGCCTTCCATCCTTCCGAGGTCGGTAAAATGAGTACCCAGCTTGCTGGGGGGGCAATTTGTAGCCTGTATAATTAAAAATTGTAAACCGCCCGGAGAGTGCTTGTAGCACTATGGGGCGGTATATAAGTCCAATAAATAAATAAATAAATAAATAAATAAATAAATTGTTCATTATTTTGCCCATTTAAACCAACATTGCACTTTTTAATGTGGTTGACGCAATAGGAGACCCTTGTCTTCTTAATAAATATGAACATGGAAGATAGGGAAGCAGTACAGTAATAGCAACTGAGAACCCTAAGCTGTTATTTTAGTCATTATATTCTTTCAGTCAGAATACTGACAATAGATGGAAAAACTGCAACATACAACCCACACAGAACAAGCTAATTCACCATTCAAAATGTGTGCCTCTGTTTCATTTCACCAGTAAAGGCAGAACAGAAAGTGAAACTGCAACAGTTTAAATCTGTTCATAGACAAGAAAATTACTTGCTCAATATCTAAGTATTGAGCATTCAAATAACATACACACAAATAACATAGATACTTAGGTATTAAATAACTAAGACATTAATCACTGAAGAAAGTACTGAAACAATATGTGCATCCCCTTGAACATGTCCTTACATGTAATGGCTAGTTTAAACAGCCTCCAGTTCGTACCATAAAAAACAACATATATTTGCGCATCACAATTACAGATACACATACCTGGAAGTAAAATACAAATACAATAGGAGATACCTTTATAGACCACTAAAAATCATCATACAATATGCAAACTTTTGTGGATCAAAACACCAGTTCATTGAGCTGTACTAATGTGAAGACCTAAAGTCCAAAAGTCCAAAAGTTCATGGCATGATGGATTTTGCTAAGAAAGGTATTCTCAGATGTAACTTTCAAAAGTTCTTGGCAAGATGGATTTTGCCAGGCACACCTATTGCATTTGTATTTTATTTTGCTTAGTGTTTTGAATAGCATACAACATAATGCTGTACTCGTCTTTTCAAAAGTCACACTGCTGTCCTAATGAGTTGCTTCCAGGTATCCACAGGCTACTTGATATGCTGGCAAAACTACGTATTATCTATTCACACAGTCTGTAACATTATACTAAAGATTATTCATTTAGGCATTTATGCCCTAAATGCTTAAAAAGGAAAAGGCATACATCAGACCATTTCCAAGCATTTCGCACTAAATTAAAAATAATTCCAACACTATAAAAATTAAAATGTATCTAAATTTAGTGACTTTATATGGCTGCTAGTAAGAACATATATGACTCCCTTCCACTAGTTACAGAACTAAGGCCAAACCAAAACTGTTCTAGATGGGAACAACTAACAACTTTCTGAAATTAAGCTCTTACTGCTTCATAACTGAAAGTAAACAGGCCTCATAAAAGACAGCAAACAGTACACAGTAAATACTCTTTTTATCCTCTGAACTTTTCCAAACAATTCATGGTGTCAGTCTGTCTAGTTGGTGCTCTTTGCACAAATGCTTGTTGTCTATATAATAGTGGAGAGAAACCTAGACAGGGCTGGAGACCAATTTTCTACATCTCCCCCCCCACACACCTTTCAGCAGGTACAAGGGCCACCTCCACAATCAAACTCCAGAGAGAAACAAAAGAGGAAGAGAACTGTATTGTAGGTGTGAAGAGCCTCTTAGTATTAGGATTACTAACAGAGAGGGTGTCATTCCTGGGGGTGAGGCACAGCACACGTCACTTGTTTGCCTAGAAAAGGCAGGTCGAGGGACGCTGCAAAATGTGGCTGGACGTGGCTTCTGGGCCACACCTTGTTCTAAAATTAAACCCTACACAGACTCTCCCTCTGGGTGCAAACGAGGTCTTTGGCCTTTGTACTGTCATCATTACGGCCTCGGCCCAGCTCTGAGGAAGCGAAATAGGGCAAAATGGCTCCCCCAGGGCCACCGCTTCACTTCGGGCCAGCGAGCCTGCGGTGACCCCGTCCTGAGGGAAAGCAGGGCAATACCCACGTCACCCACCTATCCACTCACCCACCCACCCCATCCAGCCGCTCTGCTGAAACGACGCCGGAAAACAGCTCTGGTGAAAAGGATACATTTTCGCGGCGAGGCCTCCCTCCAGCTCTGGTTGCCACCGTAGCCGCCGCCGCCGCCGCCGCCCCCTCCTCCTCCCGGAGGCCTTCCAGGAGGGTTGCTGCCACCTCGGCTCCTGCCCCAGCGGCCGCCGCTCCGGTAGAAGCGGCCTCGAAAACGGAACCGGTCCAGAGCGTTGTGGCTGCGCTCCCAGAAGGAGAGCCTGGGGCCGGAGTCGGGGTGCGGGCCGGGCGGCAACCTGGAGCAAGACGTCAGCCGGTACCCGCCGCCGTGGCCGTGGAGGTGCCTCAGCTCTGGGGGAGGCTGGTGGCGCAAGTGGGCGAAGCGGCGGGACGAGGAGACGAGAGGGGCGCTGCGCAGGTCGGGAGGCGGCCTTCGCCGGGCGTAGGGGCCCTTCGCCGCCCCGCCGCCGCCGCCGCCGCCATCTCTGTTGCCGCTCGGCTCCGGCGGCCCCTCGCTGTCGTGGGGGTTGTTGTTCTCGTCGTCGCTGATCTCTCCGTCCTCCAGCTCCCCTTCCTCTTTCGGGGAGAGGTCGCTGGGGGCCGCCTCCGCCGCTTTCTCCTCAGCCGCCGGAGCCGCCATCGAAAGTCATTCGTCGCTCACTGGGCCCACAGGCAGGAGGAAGCGCCTCGAGCCGCGCCGCCCACAACCGCTGAGTCGCTCTCGGCGGCCTCTCGTTTCTTGCCCAAAGTGCCGCGGCGGCCCAGCCAGACCCCAAACTTGTACGCGCAACACCACCCTGTGCCTTCGTTTTCGCCACTCTCGCGAGATCTTGCTGCGTCTCCCCCTCCCCTCTCTCTCTCTCTGTCTCTCACCCACCCCACCCCCCGCACTCGCCTTGCACTCCCTCCCGTTCCTTCCTGAATTGGAGGGCAGCGACACATCACAAAGGGGAGGGGGGGCGAACAGCATGACGGGAAGTGGAGTCCCCCAACTGTCTTAGGACTCCATTCCAGAGAACGTGTGTGTCACAAGGGGAGAATAACGGTCCCCTCACGGGGTTAATGCTAATATATTGCTGTTTCTATATAGGTCTAAAGGGAAGAGCTGCTCGCTCGAAATACTGTAGGCGTATCAGTGGAAAAGATGAGTAAGTAGGTCTGGTGCAGGGAAGGACAGACCCTGGAAAAGTTACCTTTCTTGGTCTAAGAAGCACGAACTGGCTCGGGGCAGAGAAAGTGACTTGTCCAAGCTCAACCCCAAGATGTTCATGTACTTTTTTTTCCTGCCAAAACATCTGGCGACATCTGTTAACGCAATAAGGGAATTAAACAAATTCATGAGGGATGCAGCTGAATGACTTTTAAGTACAGAGATTCCATACGTCTGAGCACCCACGGAGCCAACGGAAGGAGAGGATTATTGCCTCCCACAAGCAGCTCGTCCGCTGCTATGTCACACAGTATGCTTGCCTACTCATCTTATGTTCAGATGAAAAAGTACAGTACCAGATATTGCTGTAGTTCTCTAGGGAGGCTCACAACAATTGTGTTTTCAGTACATGAAACCACTAATTTTTAACATGAATAATAAAATCAAGTTAGGAGCATCTATCTCTCATTCTCCAAACACAGAAAAATCTTTTATCAATTTTCAGGAATTCAAAAAGGAGATGTACGGTCCATGCATACAAAATTAGGTTTGATGTGATACCCGTAGCTTTTGAAACCAGTCAGTATGGTAAGATAGAATTTTGCACGACCCACATGAGACCAAGCTGTCAAACATGCAAATCTAAATTTGGTCTCATGTTCACCTGAGGTAACAGCCATTATGATTGTTGTAGTTTTCTTGGGATGTTTGGCCATGTTCTGGAGGTTTTTCTTCCTAAGGTTTCACCAGTCTCTGTGGCTGGCATTTTCAGAGGACAGGAGCTAGAATTCTGTCTGTGTTCTGGTGTAGCGTGTGGGATTGTTGAGCATTTCTAGCTGTGGGATCAGGATTTTTGTTCTTTTCAAGAGATTTGGTGTTTCCTGTGATCAGTGTTTGTTTTTTGTTTTTTTGGTGGGTGTTTTGTGATGGGGGTGGGAGAGATTATCTGTTACTGTGATTGATAGACAGGAACACAAACAGAATTCTATCTCCTGTTCCCTGAAGATTTTGGCCACAGAGACTGGTGAAACATTAGGAAGGAAAACCTCCAGAAGAGGGCCAAACAGCTCAAAAAACGCGCAACAGCCATTGGATCCCAGCCGTGAAAGCCTTTGAGAACACATTAAAGGCCATTACTTTGCTCAAGTTTGTTTTTTCTCTAAGCCTATAGAGGGGTATATGAGCTGCTTCTAAGACAATGAATATATCCTCAGAAATTAAATAAACAAGTAAATAAATACAAGTGTCTGAGCCAGTCTGCAGAAAGATAAGAAGCTGTAAACGAATGCCCTTGACACCTTGGTGTTACTGCTGGATAGCTCAGTGGTTTAGAGGAGGAG